ACGTTTCGAGCTCTGTGGTAAGTCATCACAAATTGTCATTCAATCATGCAAGCTTTGGAAAGGAGACACGATAGAACCTAGGTATCTCCTACGTAGACCACATAAAAAATGACGCAATACATCATCAGGCAACAAAGAAGCCCTCTGGAAGGTCTCATAAGCACAGTCAAGAAAGAAAAGTTGAAGAAAAGGTCTCAAGAGTCAAAAACCCTTCCACTGTCATACTACGAAGAGGCAGACAGGGGAAAATGAATGGACAGCCTCCTTATTTTGTCAGGAAGATCCTTCACGAAAACTCAAACATTGGGCCTTATTCGAGATATATGAATAAGATATATGAATATGTGGGGTTAGGAATTGAATTCCCAAATCTTTGGCCCAAGGTCCACTGGATAAAATCGTTAATTGAAGTAATCTAAAAAAATAAGTGACTTAACCCAATGTGTTGTTAGTTCAATAACTAGCCACAGCAGAGAAACAAAATAACTAAAACTGTGATAAAAAAAAAAAGGTATGGAATGTGTAATTAGAACAATCTAACCTCGTGGACTAAAAGTGTTCGGCTCAAAATTCCAACTGAAGAAAACCGGAAAGTGCTACGACCGAAACCTCGTGAATATGACAGTAAAAATTAGGACAACAGTCTGAATGATATAAATAGTGTAAATAGTTACAATACCTCATCTCAGAAATATAAACAAAAGATTGATAGATAGGTATGAACAGAATGAGACAGATTTATATGAACAAAGATCTATATATTTTATAAACAAAAAAAATGAGCTAGCCAGTTATATAGCTAGATAGATAAATAAAAAACGGAATTAAGTAGATAGATCATTTTTGATTCTTCTCTCTTGAAAAACTGCTTTACCGTTATTTACTGCTAGCTTACGCTTAGCATTCATGATGGTTGGCAGACAACTGTATCCTGTATCTAGCATTCAATTTCTCTTTTCGATTTTTTCTTATTATTGGCACAAATAACTATCAGGCAGAAAGCCACAAATTGTGTAACTATTTAACGCCTGGAAAAAAACCAACAAATAAAAGGAATAGGACTTATCACATGAATTAGAAACAAAAGATCCTTCCACCTACAGGATATAAAAAAGAAGATAAACAAAGCCAAAACAAACGAAGAAAGAATAAAATAATATTGATGAATAAGTATTTTGTATTCTACATTAGAATAACGTTTTTTTTGTTAATTTCGACAAGAAGCCAAATTATGTTAAGTGTTTTTTTTCTACATAAAACGCAGTAATTCGTGGAGTGCCTCCCATATCAAATCACAATGCAATAAAGAAACAAACACCGGCAACTGTTTTAGTAAAAAAAAGAGATTTTTTTTTAATCAATTCAGCCCAAGCAATACGACAATACCATGAAGACGCAAGGGGATACTGGTATTGAAAGAGAATGAGATTTTAAAAGGAACCGGAAACCCAGTCCTAAAACAGGAAGCAAGTGATAAACCTCTACTCCTGTTTAAAAGACCGGGAAGGATAGTGAACCGGGCGACAGGCGAATATAAACTCTATAAAGGCATCTGCACACTATCAATTACTCAAGTCCAATGTGAGAGAACTTTTTAAAGGCTAAAGATCATAAAGACAACGTTAAGAAATTCACTGTCTGAGAAGAATCTGCAATCATACATGGTGCTATCCATAGAAAAGGAACTGTTAGATCAATTGGTTGCAGAAGCAATTATTGGCAAATTCGAACAATCATTTCTTGTACAAAAACGTTTGCTTTTAATATAGTGCTCTGCATGCAATGTTCTACTGTGCATTTGATCTATCTGTTAATGTGTACATTGTGCAGTCAACTATTTACGAATACCTACCAATTACTTAATATTAAAAAGAGTAGCTAAAATCAATTATAACATTCTGTATTTACACCTGGCAGTAATATATATATGTACAATGTAATTACTAAGAAATCCACATTTTTCCACACAAAAAATTAAATGCACCCTTTTCCATATGTATTTTTAAAAAATTTATTTATTCATTATGAAAATTAAATGGTGGCATTGTAGTTGTAGGTGAATCCCTTTTGTCTCCTGGCAATATTTTTTTGTCCCCATACAACATTTTTGTCTCCTGGCAATATTTTTAGGCTCAGTCCACAACCAGTGGAGTTGAAGGTGGGCCACCTTTATCTCCTGGTAATAATTTTGTCACCTGGCAATATCTTTTTTTATCTCCTTTCAATATTTTTAGACCCAGTCCACCACTGGATATATTCCTGTATTTCAAATTATTAGAAATGTTTCTATGTGTCCCAAACCGTTTATCTGATAAAAATGAAAGATAAATTTTGTATTCTGTATGGCAGCGTAGACTTTATTGTGTATGTCAAGGAGAAATATGGTGGTTGAGTTTTCCGTTGACGACTGGAAAACATGGTTGATGAAAGTGAGATGAAGCAAGATTGTAAGCTGATTAATATAAATTTCACAGCATTAAATTAATTTATGTTATAAACTTCCATTTACATGTGATATTTAGCCTTTAAATTTATCATGATGTTTTCTCAACATCAGTTGATTAATACTAATTTTAATATGGAAACATTGATATGCATGATCAATGGTCTAATGCAGAAGTTGGTACGCTCTGTGGTTTCGGGCATCATCTAGGACATTTTCGTCAGGAGATGAAGAGGAAACTTGAGGCAACAACGGAAGGATGCTGAGAATATCACGGACAAAACATATGAATAGCGAAAAAGTTTAAATGAAAATGGAAACAAAAAGGGAGTTTTAGAATCAGAAAGTGACAGTTGAAATTTCTAGGGAGCATAATGGGGAAAGAAGACTTGGAGAATTTGACACTCAGAAGGCAATAGAGGCAGAGGTAAATAGCGAGTTTGTAAATAGATGGCAGAACAAGAAAGGGCCAAAATTTGCTTAGAGCGACACATGATCGCTCTCATCCTGAAGAAATACGGCATATAGAAGAAGAAGGAGGAGGAGGAGGAGGAGAAGAAGAAGAAGAAGAAGAAGAAGGAGGAGGGGTAGGAGGAGGAGGAGAAGAAGTAGAAGAATGAGGAGGAGGAAAAAGAAGAAGAAGATGAAGAAACAGCATTTCGACCCATGTTTGATCATTTAATTTCGAATATAAGTATCAGGACAAAATTCAAAATGAAAAATCTAAAAGAGAGACCCAATTTGAGAGAGAGTCTGTAAGTATCTATTCAGAAGTTGGTCCTTTTAGCAATGGAGCTCGTTTTCTGTGTACCGTGCCACATCAAAACGTAGAACATCATGGTTCTCTACATTTTTCTATTCATAGCTCCCAGTAAGTCTTGTCTTTTCCCCATCCCTCCTGGTGTCTGTTCAGCCATCTATTTACAAAAGCTTGTCGATCTTTTCGACCATATGCCCTGTGAGTGTCAAATTCTCCAAGTCGTTTTTCTTATGAGTTCTAGAAATGACAACTATTTTTATTTAAAGAATAATCTTCCTCTCTGTCTCAATTTTCCTTCAATCTTATTTGTTAATACTCGCCATAGGTTAATTTTCTTTTAAAAGTTCCATCAGATATTAAAAAGAATAATTAAATTTTGCTTCTTTTTTAGCTCATTTAATTGTATTATAATGGATAATATAATACTTTTAACAAACAGACGATACTGTGCTTAATCTCTACCGAGTGCTCCATTAAATTAAATTAACCTTATGCCAGACGCAAATTAAGCCAAAAAGAATAAAATATGTTAGCCAGAGAAATAAATCATTGTACCCTTGCTCTATGCCTAAGCAAGAAAACAAAACAAATTTCAGTCAGTTAAGTGTTACACGTGATACACGCTTGGGCGATCATGTTCTTTCGATCCATGACTGACTAGGTAAAATAATATTTCCGTTGACGATTGCCATTTTTTTTCTACGGTAGACCGGTTGTCAAGATATGGGCCCCAGTCTGCCCTGCTATTTAGATCATATCTGTGAGAAGAAGATATGGATTCATAACTTTGACATTAATATTTGCACGTGTGTGAACGTGACGAACCCGATTGGAATTTGAACACAGCTCTAGCGATTTCTCATTTTTGAGCCGGTATCCATTACAGCACAACGCAATTTATTTCAAGGAGTTTGAATTTGAAATTAGGTTATTTTTTTTTGTGAGAAGATTAACTCATTTTATCGCTTAAACCACGATGCATTTGAAAGTTTTCTACTGGTTCTTTTTTTTTTTTTGGTTGGGGGAGGAACTCGTTTTATCTAAAAGGTCAAAGGATCAAATTAGATGATTGTGTTAAACAGTTTAATGCCCAGTGAAATACATTCAGGAATTCATTAAAATGTTCATTAATTTGACTCTCAACACACAAATTACTGGATCGGTTTCTCATCTGCGATAAATTGCTTTCTACTGATTATAAATGAATTTAAATCATGGAAGCAATATTTTAAGACTTTTTTCTTTTTCTCAACCATTTTGCATACCTTTGAGCCGCGCCCTTTGGCTTGAAAATCATTCATTAAGATAACCGATAAACAAGAGTCAGTTTTGTCGATTTCTTTCTTCATTGACCGCTTTATAAACAAGGCTGGATATGATTAATGTATAAGTGTTTATTTGTTTGCCTATTAGGCGCGTGTTATACAAGGTAATTTTCTAGGGAAATTATATTGCACTGTTGAAACTTGACTAATGCATGGAATAATAATGCAACGCAAAATGTACTTAGAACAAAATGTATTGAAACAAGAAAGTGTACACAATATTTACATATAGTCTTTTGTATATTCCTGGTAAGACCGTTCCTGGAGAATGTGTTGACTGAGTCGCAGTCGGGCAGAGTCTCTGGTTGAATCTCTTGATTCCTTCCTCTCTTCCCGGTACCAACCATATTTATATGGTCGGTACTCCACTATGCAAATTAGGTGGATCCTACCACAACAGCACTATTTTGTACTTATAGCAGATTTTCTTTTTTTTTTTCTTATTTTCTCTAAACATGTATGGTACTACAGGCTTGCGACCATATAGCGTGGAAACACCGTTATCCGTGCGATCACCGAAATTAAGCAACGTTGAGCCTGGACAATACCAAGATTTGTGATCTCTCGTGAAGACCACGTGCTACAAGTTTGGATGTGCGACTGGTGTAATGGATAATGGTTCCAATAATTCCAGTTTCCGTTGGGTCGGTTATATTCACTTACGTTCAAATACCCTTGGGACAGGCATGAATCTACATCTTCTCCCCCAGCTGTGGGTTAATTAGTAAGACGTTTATCACTATATAATTATTATCTTAAAAAAAATCTCAAAATATAAAAAATATTTTTTGTGTTTAATTAACCTGCAAAGATTTGATAAGTAAGCCATACAGTAATCCTCATTTGAGGAGCGACTATAGGCTTGGAGATATCTGACTGAAATAAACTGTTTTGTTGATTTCTTTCTTCACTGACCGCTGTATAAATAAGGCTGGATAGGATTAATGTATAGTGTATTTGTTTGCCTATTAGACGCGTGTTATACATGGTAATTTTGTAGTTAAATTATATTACACTATTTTGTACTTCTAGCGGATTTTCTTTCTTTTTTTTTTTTTTCTTATTTTCTCGAAACCTGTATGGTACTACAGGCTTGCGACCGTATAGCGTGGAAACATAGGTCTCCGTGTGATCACGGATATTTATAATTATTGAACCTCGACAAAACCAAGATTTGTGATCTCTCGGGATGTCCAAGTACTACAAGCTTGAATGTGCGACGGGTGTAATGGATAATGGCTCGGAATCGTTAATCGGAGAGCCGAGTTCCAATTTCAGTTAGGTTCGTTATATTCACTTACGTTCAAATGCCTTTGGGAAAGCTATGAGTCTACATCTTCTTCCTCAGTAATACATTTATCACTATATCCTTATAAAAAAATATTTTCTAGGTTTAAATAATCTGCAAAGATTTGATAAGCCCTAGAAAACGAATCAAGCTAAACTATAAAACAATCCTCATTTGAGAAGCGACTACAGACTTGGAGATATCTCACTGAAATAAACTGTAGAACAAGAGGCAACTTCTTTTGTTGATTTCTGTGATCTTTGGTAGTCGAAAACACCGCGAGTGACAGTGGATGAGTGACTGGGTTCGACGAGAGATAGCACGTAAATGAATGTAATGTATTCGACTGGAATTCGAACTCGGCTCTCCGATTTCTCAATCCGACCCGCTAACAGGTTATTCAGAATAAAATAACCAATCTTAAGTTTGAAACGAGATAAATTTGATAGGTAGCATACTAATTTTTTTTCGAGGAACAATTTGTAATGATCAAACACATTACAATAGCTAAATCTCAGGTGACTAACTTGTTAACCATTAATCTTCGTCAAGTGGCGTCACTCTCCTCTTTTCATTTGATCACTAGTCAAATATTAATACCAGCCATCAATTGATAGATACAGGTAACCAGTTTTTTGTTTTTTTTTTTCATTTTATCTTGTTGCTTGATTTATTTTGGCTAAATATATTTTTAACGCCATTGGTTTTATAAAAATGGCATGAGAGAACCGGCTACCCAGGAAACTGTCTTTCCATTGATAGACTAAATTTGTTTTTGCAGTCGATACTTAACATAAAAACAGAACTGAGGTTTGGCTGACATTACAAACGTTTGTAATAAGAAACTTTCCCATCACTGACAAATTGGAGATGACATTTCTGGAAGTAACTACCACCCATGACATCCGATGGGTGCGAGAACAAATCCTGAAATACATTTCTACAAAGAGAAATTCTTAATGAACATATAAATAAAATAAAATCAGAATTAAAATAATATATTCCAAAAAAGTAATTGAGCGTAAATTCTTCAAAAAACTAAAAACAAATTTTTGTATCGCCGATGATTCGGAAGAGACGTAATCACAAGATAAACAATGTCTCGTCCTAATTTTTAAACTCTCATCTCGACTTTCTGAATGAGAAATTTGATCCCAGGATGAGGCGTAGCTGTAATTCTACGAACATATTAAGAGTCGTTAAGGTGGTTACAAACTTACACTTGTGCGTCTAAACAATTTTACACTAAATCGTTGAAAAATGTATTCGCTAAAAGTTAATATTAAATTTTGTAGAGTTGTTTTTCTTCCAGTTTATCCATTAATCCCAAATATAATATCACTATTAAATTAAGTACCTCCACTAATCCGGTATACGTAAGTATAATGAATTTTTCAAAATGAAAAAGCTTTCTTGAAACTTTCATTTCAGCTTCGGTTGAAAGCTAATGGATTTAAAACATACTATTTCCAGTAAGCAGAATATTTCAAGTAGAAATTATATTGATCAAAATCGATTTTATTTTTCAGTAGGATCGCTCAATATGGCCATTTTTAACACATTTGTAAACAAAAGATAATTCTCTGTTTTAAATCTTGCAAAAATAAAATATATATTTTTGAAACGTTATTTGAGGAAAATTAGCAAATATAAAGTTAAATTAATCTGATTTGAAAAAAATATTACTTACTTATAATATAAAATATTGTACCCACATTTTTAACTGCAGGGTTTTGTTTTTTTGACGTGTTAATCAATTTATTGACACCCGATTGACAGACAAACATGTTCAGATGGTGGAGCAGACAATAAAGTTCAAGGATAATTTTTTGCTGTAATATGGGACAACCCTTAAAACACGTGACATTTTAATGATAGATTTATCGGTTTGTACATCCATACTTCAGAAATTCTGCATGTAATTAAACACATACAAAAACAAATCGAAATTCTTTTAACAATATTCGGGTCGCAAGGTTGTAATAATCTTTACAATATATGATTAGTAAATACAGTTTTACTCAATAATAATATTTTCTATGAATTATTACATTGAAAATGAATTTTAAAAGATTCAAAACTTTATAAATTATTAAATTTAAAATTATAAAAACAAATCTTGTAAAAATTCATTTTTCGCCGAAAATTGTTGTTTTCTTCAGATAATATTATCTTTAATATATATTATTCATAAAAGCAATTAAAAGCTTCTCTAATTAAATAATGTCTTAGGTTGTTGCGTTTTTTTATTTTTCGATTCAGAACAGATTTTTGTTGAGACCGGCCGATTTTGCAAAAACAATATGGTGATTTAAATAGATCAAAAAAGTTCTGTTTTAACTAATATAGTCACTAAAACATATCACATTGAATTTCTCGGGTTTTCATAAAATTAAGTATGGGGCTTCTTCAAATCTCCTCTTCATTTGTAAGTAGATTGTCCAATAATAAATCTTGGTATGACTTCTAGTTCTCTGAGGATCGCCTCGCTCTAAAGGTTGGAAAGTCTGTTGAAGAAACACATTGTCTTACATCCCCTTCTGTTTTTGCGTATTTTCAGAATTTGTTTTATATCCATATGCAGGTGATTACTTTCCAGTGTCAGTTCTAGCATCAAATAAATACAGAAGTATAATTATCTGGGGCGTGTTTAACAGAGAATAGATAACGGGACACTGAAAACTGAACACGCATTGGAATAGCAAAAATATCTTGCATAAGTTCTGTCCGAATTTTGAATAAAGAAGACAAGTGACCAAATGTTACATTTAATTACAGCTTCAATCAACAATGTATTTTCCCTGATTATCTATGACTTACTTCCATCTATTAACAAGCTTACTAATTCCATTACTGTAAAATTCTTTTGGCTTTGATTCGAACAACTCACAAATATCAGTTTTAACCTCTTCCTCTGTTGCAAAAGCTGTTTCTTCCAAATGATTCTGTAAGCTACGAAACAAATGGTAGTCTGAAGGAGCAAGATCGGGAGAATAAGGTGGATGAGGAATCTTCTCCCAACCAAGTTCTTCGATCTTTTGTGACGTGATTCTTGCTGTGTGGGGTCGCGCATTGTCCTGATGAAACATCACCTCTTTTCGATTCACTAGAGCAGGTCTTTTTTTCTTCAAAGCTTGGTTCAAACGCTCTAATTGCTGACAGTATATTTGATCATTAATTGTTGCATTAGGTGGTAAGGATTCAAAGTGGATTATTCCTTGACAATCCCACCAGATTGAAAGAAGAACCTTTTGCCCATGAAGTTCCCTTCTCGGTTGTGGCTGGGGTCCTTCCCCTTTACCAAGCCACTGTCTATGACGCTTAACATTTCGATAAAAGATCCATTTTTCGTCGCCAGTCACAAGTCTATCCAAAAAAGGTGAAACAAGTTGGAGAGAATGGAGAAAAGAGCAGATGTCAACTCGGGATTTGAGGTTGTTTTCAGACAATTCATGAGGCACCCATTTTCCAAGTTTAGGAACTTTTCCAAGTTGTTGAAGATGACGATGAACAGTTGTATGGTTTGAACAGAGAACCACTGCCAATTCCTCAACTGATAAAGCAGGATTTTCTTCAAGGTCTGCTTCAAGAAGCTTTTCATCAAACTCAACTGGACGTCCGGTTCGATCTTCATCTTCAAGGGTGAAATCTCCACCTCTGAATTTTGCAAAACATCTTCTGCAAGTTCTTTCATTCACACATTCCTCTCCATAAACTGAGTGAATGTTTCTAGCCGCTTCGACTGCTGAGTTTCCTTTCTTGAACTCATAAAGCATTATGTGCCTCAAATGATTCTTGGGTACTTCCATGTTAGCAGGGTTTTAATCAAACAAAATTTAATTTTATTGTTCTCTGATATAAAATTTGATCAGTTTAAATGCATCTAAACATAAAAATAATGTTCAGCTTCATTAGACATTATAAAATACTCTTTAAATTTCGTTCATTTTAACAAAAAGTTAAAATTCGGACAGAACTTATGGGGTGACCTAATATTAAGAAACGGTGAAATATCGTTAAGAGGAAAGAAAAAAATGCTGAACTGCTAAGTAAAATGAATCCTTCTATATGACAAGGAAGGCTGGCGAGTTTCCTAGCAGTAGAGTTTTATCCCTAATTTCCTGTTTAGGATTAGGTTTCCGGTTCCGCTTAAAGTCTTTTCATTTTATTTCACTCAACAGTAGCCCCTTGCGTCTTAGTGGCATTATCACCTTACTTGGGGTGAATTGATCATTTTTTTTTTAATAAAGAGATGAAGAGAAATTTCGAGGCAATAGTGATGCTGTGAATAAAATGGA